ACAGTGGGCCGGGTCTCCTTTGTTCTTGTTTTGGAGGGAATCCTTTGTTCTCCCTTGTGGAGAAGAGAAGGGGGATGGGTTCCAGGTGGCTAACCCCACTGATTTAGCTCCATTTTGGCAATATATCCCAACAGCAGCATTGTTCACTAAACTGGACCTTTCCCCTGTTCACCTCAACATTTCACTTAGATTATTCCATACTTGAATTAAATGTGAAGAGTTTGCCAAAAAACATCAGCTCTTGATAAAGAAGATATTAATTTTATTGGTAAAACCAGAAAACAATGTTTGTGCTTTTTCTGTGGAATCAGCCTTTTCCCACCTTTCAAAAGAAAACTAAGAGTCAGTATTGAAGGAAGATGATATTAATGAAGCATAAAATAAATTAATGAATGGTCATTGTATGACAAAAACTGTCTGATAGAAAACTTTGTTTTTTATAAAGATAAGACCTCAGAAAGGGATTAATAAATGCCAAAAAATGAAGATCAGTGGAGGCACAAAAAAAATATGAGAATAAATTAACTGTTATTTTATAGATCGTTAACCAGAAAAAAGTATAGAAAACTATTATGAAACTAAATCTTTAAAGACATCTGGAATATATTATATTGTTATCCAGGAAAACTCCGGACTCATTAGTTTTCCTCGTTATTTTACAGAAAATGATGACAACTTTGATAACACAAAAGATGCATCTTAAAATTTCAACATATATTTATTCAGTGTGGAACCTAATCTGGCAGAAATAATCCCAGATCCTCCAACAGCGACGATTGTGGACTCACCCAACTGTTAAAACAGTTATACCACTGGAAGACATAAATAATAAAAACAGAAGTTCTCCCTAAAAAGCACATAATTTACCAGTAAAACTGATCAGTCTTTGTCTCAACAAGAATCAGACCAACCACCACGGTGTTTACACGAACCACTGGGTTTACTGGGATTTACAGGCTCCACCCAGTTACCTGAGATTTTTAATGTACCTGGAATACTACAGCAGAGCAGATTAACTGCATCCAACATTCTGAATGCTGAGCTTCTAACATAATTTTCACCAACATGTTCTTCACATCTGAACTTCTTCTGATTCCTCTTCTAAAACAGTTTTATCACTCCTTAGAGGGACAATTAAAGCGCCACCTACAGACAAAGTCAGACACATTTCAAAACAACCAGCCTGTTGGATCAGATCCTGCAAACAGGTTTTCTGGGTTTCCTTCATAGTTTCTGAGCAACAGGAAAGATACATTTAAAATAGAAAGAAAAATGCTGCTGTCCCTCCTACCTGTCTCTCATCAGGCTCCGCCTCCATCACAGGCGAAGCTCTGACTCATTCCAGAAAGCAGCTCAGCCTCAGATTCACCTATCAAGTCTCTTCAACACTTTTTGTAGTTTGACCAGACTGTAAGTTTATTTTCTTCATAGTTAAACTTTAATGTGACTAAAAACCTTCTGATTTCAGCTGAAAGATTCATCAGTTTTATGTTTAAAGTAAGATTTAGAGATTATTAAATATCTGTAATCCTTCAACATGATGAAGAGCTGAAATTAAGATATTTTATATACTTATACTAAATTATTCTTTGTTTTTAGTGAAGCTGTCATCCTACCTGATAAAGTCAGACATGACAGCTTCCTGATGCTTATTTGATCCTTTCAAAGTAAAATTAGGTCACATTCAGTTAGACTCCCTTTTCAAAGAGGTTAAGTTTGTTTCAACTTTAACTGAAATGTGAAAATATCACATTTTATAGTTTGATGGCTGGAATACCAGCATTTAACTGGTTTAATTTTTCAGTTCCAGCATGAAACTGATCTAGACTTACATTCTGGGATCCTGCAGCTCCTTCAGTCAGACTTTCCAGTCATACTGGAATCCCTTCATTCTTTTAACATCAACCTTTACTTTGTGTTTACAGGCTGAGCTTTAAAACACTTTGGTTTTCTAATGTAACATTAGGTGCAGCAGCAGGTGGGAATCAGTGAATGTTAATGTAGCTTCATCCTGTGTTCTTGGCTGCAGCTGCAGGTGTGTGAGCTGATGTGAAGTGAGCAGCATGGATCAGTGTGAGGACAGAGAGGACAGAGTCCCTCCCTCTAAAACCACTCTGTGTGGAGAACATGAGGACCAGAGCAAAGCTCAGAGGTCAGATCACCATCTCTAACTGTCCAGGACTCTTCTCCATGTCTCAGCATGAACATCAACAAACCATCTTTATTCACAGGAAACAACCAGAACCAGAACCTGGACCAGAACCAGAACCC